TATTGTTAACCTGCTTTAAATGTAGGTCAAATGTATATGCATTTTGCAGTATTATGGTTTTGTTTATTCAAATATGTAATGGTGAGTCTTTTTACTCTTTCTTAAAGAAAATGTTAGAGATAAATCATAATCACGAAGAATTTAGGTTAATTTGAGAATAAGAATGCAACAACAACAACAACAACAACAATAATAATAAAGGAAAAGAACCCCAAATAAAAGGTACTATAAAATGAAATAGTTTTTGGGAAAATTGCAGCAGAAGTCCCAAACCTTTGAAATACTAGCAGACTTTCCTCAAACTTTTGATTTGTCGTAGCCGTCACCCCCAACCTTTTCAAACGTTGCAGGGGAAGCCCTTTTGGACGGTTTCCATCCATAATTCCGTCAATTGATCAAAAATTTAAGTTTGACCACATTTTTAATATTTTAATAGGGGAAAAAGAGTAACTTTTCATTATCACATTAAATAATAATTAAATTAAAAAATAAGAAATGAAAAAAAAAACACACACACACACACCTCGTCTTCTTCCACCGGACCACCGCAACTGCCACCTCCACCTCCACAACCACCTGCAACTGTCGACCATCATCCAACCCATCACAATCCCTTTAATTTTCCTTGACTCAATTTCACAAGGAGCACAGGTACTATGCAATTGTCAAAGTATGTAGTCGGCAATGAGGGATTCAATCACGACCTACAATCTGCTACAAAATTGAAATGCTCCACCTCGCCATCCGCCACCACTTTCCCAGCCTCTGTGGCAAATTTTCCCCATGTAAGCAATATTCATCAGTAATCATCCATAAAAATGATGAAAAAATTATTTATTTCCTAAGCTCGTCTGGGATAGTTGTGTCCTGCAATCTTAAACACAAATTCTTCTTCGAGTATCCAAGAATAATGCCCGTCTTCTCGAAGTACGTAATGAAAAGTGGAGGAGAAATCTATGTCATAGTTCTTCATGAATTCTTGGAAACTGCTACCCTTCATGTGTGGAAATGGGATGAGAAAAATCAGATCTGGGTTTAGATTGCAGCAATGTCACTGGACATTAGTTTGCCTGAATTCTGCCAAAAATTATAGCTACGCTTAGTGCAATTTACTGACAAATGAATGGATTGAATTTGGTAGCAGGTGGTTGTGGAGGTGGAGATGGAGATGGTCATGTGAATTTTTTGTTAGAGTTGGGGTTGGGGATGGGTGAGGAGTAAGAGGAAGAAGACGGGATGTGTGTTTTTTTTTTTTTCATTTCTTATTTTTAATTTAATTATTATTTAATGTGATAATGAAAAGTTACTCTTTTGCCCCTATTAAAATATTAAAATGGGGTCAAACTTAAATTTTTGGTCAATTGACGGAATTATGGATGGAAACCGTCCAAAAGGACTTCCCCTGCAACTTTGGAAAGATTGGGGGTGACAGCTCCAACAAATCAAAGGTTTGGGGAAAGTCTGCTAATGTTTCAAAGGTTTGGAGCTTCTACTACAATTTTCCCTAGTTTTTTTTCTCATAAAATACTCCACTTAGTTCTATTCTATATGTAGAGCATTCCTTGTACCAAGATTTTTTTATAAAAAATCTCAATTCTTAATTTAAGTAGATCTAATGAATCAATTTTATTTCATTAAACTAATTTAAAATTTTAAGTAAAATATTTTAAAATTTGCTTATTAGGGGTCTATCTCTTCCCACCCTCTTTAAATCTTGCTTACCTTGCTGCAGCAATCTCTCTCTCCTCTCTCTCTCTCTCTCTCTCTCTCTCTCTCTCTCTACATATATGTGTATATACATTTTTTTATGATTTAGGTGTCCGAGTTTCGCTCAACTGATTTTGAAGAGTGACGGCATTCCCGCATGGTTCACCACTCAAGTAAATTTAGCTGCGATCACAATTTATACATGCTTGGGTCAAACATTCAGGATGCAGTTCTCCTTCCTGTGAACTTCCCTTTACCACATGCGGACAAGACCCCCCCGGATGGGCGACAAAATGCTACATAACTTTGTCTCCACAGGAAATCTATCTTCTAACATATATGTTGCCTTCCAACTGTCACGGGGTTTCGAATCTCCAACATTCCGTAGAGAACCCTTCTTCTTTATTATTGCGTCATGTTTGTGGGGGCTAAACTTGTATTATAAGTTCATTATGTAAACGTATATAATAGTTCATGTTCTTATGATTTCTAAAATATAGTTTTGAAAGCACTATATATATGATGATTCTTATGAAAGAATGTATTGTACAATGTATAGTGTACATATATAGAGAGAAAAACTTCTCGTGTATAGAAGAGAGAGAGAGAGAGAAGAGGGGAAGGGAAAGATGTAAAGGAGGAGGCACGATTGGGTTGGGTTCAGGGTAAAAGCTTTAATAAGAATATCTAAACCATTGAATTAATTTAAACCAAGAGTGTCAAACATATTAGTCAAAAACTTTGGTTGGTGGAAGTTGGAACACTCCCATCTTATATGATCTTAAAAATGTGCGATAAAGTCTTCATTAATTTGTATCATTTGATTTAGTCTATTTATTTTTTCGTTACTTGTAATATTTATACTACGTCAAGACAAAGTATTTTTATTACTATAATAATAGTAATTCAAAAATGTTTTCTTTCTCCAAATTTTCAAGGTCCACATATTTGTTTTTAAAAAAAAAAGTGAAAAAGAAAGAAACAGAAAAAATTAAGCTTAAAGTATATGAGTAACAAAATTGTTTTAAATTTTATAATAAAGACTTAATTTATCCTTAACGGAGAGTTTCTCATAAATTATTCTTATTTTTCTAAAATTGTCTGATAGTTAGATATATGTACAAGCTTATGGAATAATTTACTTTAGTTCCTGTTTAGTGTTGTTTAAAATTTTTATAAAAAATTAAATTAAACTCAATAAATAGTTTTAGCAACACATTTGATGGGACATTCAACTTTTTAATTATATATTTTAACAAAATTTAATTTTAATTGCTCCAAACTTGGACTTATAATATTTGAAAAAGTAAATGGAGAGTTTTAACAGTAAATGCCTTCAAAAAAAAAAAAAAGGATAAGGAAAAAAATGAGAGAGAGAGAAGTGATTAATGATTCATATGAATTAAAAATAAAGGGAAAATTACAACAACGGTTCCAAATCTTTGAGTTTTTAGCGAACTTTACTTTAACCTTTAATTTGTGCTATCGAAAGTCTCAAATCTTTGAGAAATTAGTAGATGGAGTTCAATTGGGTAGAAATTATTCATTTGACTGTTAGTTAATCAAGATAAGTGGGTTTTGACCAATTTTGATTAAATTGAAAGAGGTAAAATGGTAATTTTAGATTCTCCTATTATAAGATATTAAATGGGAGAGAGAGAGAGAGAGAG